CCAGAAAATCACATTGTCTGATTTTTAAAGAATTTAAAAATCAGACAATGTGATTTTCTGGATTTTTTTTTCTCATTTTGTCTCTCATAGTTGAGGTATATCTATGATGAAAATTACCGGCCTCTCTCATCTTTTTAAGTGGGAGAACTTGCACTATTGGTGGCTGACTAAATACTTTTTTGCCCCACTGTATAAGAGAGCAAATAGCTAAATTTCTAATTCTAGCCCTTTAGGTGGCAGTAACATGCCTAAAGTGGGTTTGCAACCACGTGGAAGAGAAGGGAGAGGAGCAGCTAGCTTGCAGATTCATGCCGGCAAATAGAAGTTAGACCTTTTTCACAAAAATGTTACAGCAAAAAAGGACTCTGGAAGAACGGAGGACAGACAGATGCTCAACCTAAACCTCTGATAGTTTCAGTGTTCGGCCTCCATAGAACGAGGTTAAAGTTCAACCCGGTCACTGTTTGGACGTGCAGTTGGACACCTACACTCTACCAGGTTGTTCTGCAGAGGGGTGCCCGTCAGAACCACTCTCCTCCGGGTCTTAATGGCGTTCATGGTCTGGGAGATCTTCGAGGTTTCATTGCGAAGGATGTGACCCTCGTCACAAATGACAAAGTCCGGACCTGAGAGAAGAGAAGACAATAGATGAAAAAACGGATGAGACATTAGAGGATGAACCAGAGGGATCGGATCACAATTCCTGAACCTGGATCTACTAAGGCGCTCCTCAGCTTCTGGCGTAGGACTGGAGTGTTCTGCGTCAGGAGGCGGTACATCTCATACCCCATGATCATAACTCCTCCCTCCCTCTGCCACCTCTGCAGAGCGTTGAGTCGGTTCAGATGATCCTTGACCGTGGCCAGTTCTAAAACCTAGAACACATCCTTCTGCTTGTATCATCCAACAGGTGAAAATAATCTGACTTGGCTCGTTGTCTCACCGTACCCGGACTTTATTCTCCCCCAGATTGTGCTGCCATTTCTTGAACTCGCTGACCCAGTTGAGGATCGTGTTGAGCGGACAAACCACCAAGGCGGTTCTGAAGGTCAGCTTTGATGAGAGCAGCACCGTGTTAAGGAACGCCACCACCTGAGGAAACATGACGCTGAGCAGGAAGTCACGATGAGCTGAGAGTCTTTCTTATCTGTGTTCCCTACCTGCAGAGTCTTTCCCAGACCCATGCAGTGTGCCAAGATGCATCCTGATCCGGGGGAAGAGTTGGCCTTCTCCACAGACTCACAGCAGCTGTCCCATATGAACTTCACACCTAAGAGAGGAGAACAGGACAATGTCAGGCCACGCCTCACTGCAAAGAAAAATGGAGGTCAGAACACCGGCAGTGACCTCCAGTCTATTTAGCTCTGGTGTTTAAGGGGAATTGACTAAGACAAAGCTGCGATCTGGGCAGTCTTTTAGTTAGCAATGCGTACAGGCGTACATTGTATACATAGTTTGCTTTTTTTTTTCGGTGCTTGCAGTTTGTACCACATGCCTGAAAAATGGTAACATCTACTCCAACCGCCAACAACAGTAGGGGGAAAGCCCTATGAGGCGACAAGGCCTGAGGCAGCTGCTGCTGGGGATTCCCAGTGACAGCGCACCACCAGTATGCAGAGGTCTGAGTTGCTCAGTAAGAAAAATAATATTTGAAGGCAGGATGGTAATCTGGATGAACTGACTGCACAGATGATGTTTTCAGGTGGACTTTATCACCTAAAAATATATTAATATATATTAAACTACCTTTTACCCACGGATTACATAAAAAATAGCAAAGCCACTCTCTGCCAGCAGAAACATCTGGAAACACTTTACTGGACATCTGACCTTAACCTCTCAGAAGGCTTTTAAAGTGTTTACAAATAATAACTCAGAATGCATAAAAAAAATTACACTGGTAAAATGTTTACCAATATAGACATGTTAGACATTGTTGGAAAGCTTAAATTTTCCACAATTCAACCATCAAGTTAACTTTATGGACATAGCGAGCACCAAAGCACAATTAACACAGATATAGCAGCATGTCAAAATGTACCATGAAATAGCAGCCACAACAAGCAAGCATGTCTTTATAACTGCTGTTCAAAAATACCTATTATTTTGGAGAATAAAAAAAAAAAACTTCTCTTGTTAGAACTGATGCAGCTGGGGCTTGATGCAGCTTGGGTGTTTTACTCACCCAATTTCCATGTATATATTCAGAAACTAGAAGGTGTTAGCTTTCAAATAATGTACCACACATGTAATTTGGGCTTACAGTTCCTAAGCCATTTGCTTTTCTATTCGGGTATGCAAAATAGGGGAGGATTTCCCAAAATAAGGTGGATATTAAAAGGTTATGTGGACAAGCTTTAGAAATGAAGCAGCAGAAGCTTTTTGATGGTCAAAGTGCGTACAGTGTGAATATAGCATTAGAACGACCCTCTGGAGGCAAAAACCTTCAGAGAAATCCATCTTAAAAATAAAAATCTGTCCAATCCGACTGAAATTTAACCAATTAATTAATTTAATTTCCCTTTTGGGATTTATAAAGTATTTTTGAATTGGTTGAATTCATAAAAATGGAAAATAACTCCAGTTTCTAGTTATGCAATGAGACCCATTCTACCAAAGAAAGTATAGTTTTTAAATTAATGCAGCAGTAAGAACTAAAAATACAAGATAATTTTAATATAATTTTTCAAACATTTTTATAATTTTATTTTTTACAGATTTTATATTTTTTCGCTTCTAGCCCAATAAAATTGGTCAACTTGACCAATAAAATGTTGCTTAAAAAAGTTAAATTTGAGAATATAGAATCTGTAAAAAAATTTTTTGAAAGAATAACATATTTATTAAAAAGCGTTTTTTTTAATTCATGGCTTGATTTTTTTTACCTAAATTTCCAATAGGAAAACATTTCCTTTGCAACAATAATGGAACAAAATTCACTCCATTTTTCTAAGCTGTGAAAATGATCTAAAGATTGGTAAAACATTCTATAAATAATCATAGTTCCCTAATATGACCATGCAAGTAAAATTAGTATTCTGGCCCCTAAGACAGAATAATTGCACCCACTGCACTTGAAATAAGATAATAAAGAATGTTTTTTTTTCCTTTTCTAAATTTAAGAATAGTTGCTCTTAGAAATAATATTGGCGCATCATTTAAAGGGGAACACCGTTTTTTTTTTTTTACAATGATTCTGTTTCCCTTATTGAGTGAAAAGGAGTAAAATAATTTATCGTATTGAGAAACTGACCGTCCACCTGGTGAGGCTTCAGGTGCGTCACCAGGTTCCTGTGGACCTGAACCAGCGGCAGCTTGGTCTCCTCATCCTGGTCCAGGACCAGCTTGGTGGTGATGGGACAGTCCACCTGAGACAGTTCATCTGGGATCACTGTTATCTGAACAAGAACAAAGAATCCTCTGGAGAAAAACACTGGTGTTTTCCAGGATGAGCTGCAGCAAAAGGAAAAGCTTTAAGTTTCTAAGGAGACCTGCTGTACCTCTTTCCAGTCCTCCATCTGTTGCACTCTGTCAGCCAGGCGCTTCCGTCTCTCCTCCTCCTCTCTGAGGGCCTCCTGGGTTTCAGCGCGGAGGTTTTCATCCTCGATGATTCTGCGGATCTTTCTGCGTCCTTTAGGGGTTCCTCTACTTTCACTGGTCTCCTCGCCTCCATCCTCTTTGTCGCTCTCCTTGAATCAAAGAACAAAAAGTGAAGTATGACAGAATCTTCTTTTTTCCCCACAAACTACAGACTGAAGCTGCTACCTCTTCAATGCTGGAGTCAGACAACAGAATGCAGAACGGTTGATTCTTTGCTTCCGAACTAAAGGCTAATTCCTCATCTTCTGCTTCAGATCTGGAGCAAAAATAAGACAAATGAATTAAGGGGAAAAAAATAGATAAAGTTCAGTAAAATAAACAAAAAAAATTATTCTAAACTAGTGCAAAATTATCTGAACTATCTTATCTCCGGTAACTTGAAAAGGAAAATAACGAGTAATATTGTCCTAAAATAAGATAATTTGATATCATGCACCTTATATTACATTTATTTTGAACGTAATTTTACTTCACTGGTTATTAAGTTATCTTAGGTTTAATTAAGATAATAAAATAAAATAAAAGGCAAGTTTCAAAAGGTTGTTTTCAGAGCACAGCTGGAGTTGAACAGACGGACCTGGTCCGGTCTGGATAGAGGTGCCAACAAACCAGGTCGGCCTCAAACTGAATTATAATGGATGTCTGGTCACACTGAACCTTCCTAAATGTTTTCTATAAAATAAAATGGATTTTAATGTAATTTCCTCAGACTCAGGATCAGATATATATATAAATCTGATCTAATAAGAAGTAAAAATTCTTTAAACTAATTCAATTTACCCTTAAATTCAGCAGGTAAATAAGATGATCCAACAGATAAATGAGGACTTTTATGATTAAAATAAGATAACTATTATCGAAATGAAATGAATTAAAGGAGTCTTTTTTTATTTTATTTATACAGCTGTTCTGGTTCATTAAGTCAATAGAACTGAGGTCTGGCTCAGAATCGAGCTTTCATGTGCGTTTTGGATTGCTGTCCTGTGTGAACGGCAAGGAGGACGGTCAGTGTCTCTGATCACAGTCAAGCGTGTTACATCAAGCTAGACTAAGGGGTGCCGACCCTGAAGAGAGAACTGGACCAGCCATCCCCACGAGCTGAGGCAGCACCCTGTTAACGCTCTCCTCTCCTGTCCTGTCAGCTTACTAACTGATAAAAGATGGAAAACTTTGGAGATCTTCAGGTTCATCTCAGATTGCCGCATGTTATCGGACAGGACGACCATCCCAAACAGAAACTGCGTTAATGTCTTTTTAATTTCTGTTATTATCCTGCACTGGGACCAGGTCAACACATTTTACACCACCTCCGGTTTGAAGACGTATGGAAAGAAAATAAAATCTTGAACTCAGATTTACTGAAAACTAACAGACTAAAACTTACTGTAGAAACCGATCCTAAAGTGCATTTTAATGTCTTAATCAGCTTATTTTATCTTAAATTGAGTAGGAAAATACAACGATCTGCAATTTTAAAATAAGATAATTACATATTATTAGGGCTGTAACTAACGATTATTTTGCAAATCGATTAATCTTATCGATTTATTTTAGAATAATGGATTATTAATCGGATAGACAAAGATTCCTTAAAAAGATTTTTTCAAAAATTAAACCAGGTAAAAATAAAACTTTTCCACTTGAGCGGTTCTGGATAGAGCAGATTGACAGGCTAAAACATTTCCTTATCTTAAATGCAAAATGTTTATATATTTTAGCTTGAAAAAGTTCAGTTTAGGCAACTGGACCTGAAGCTTCCTAGAAGACGTTTTGCCTCTCATCCAACAGGCTTCTGATCCCCCTAATTCTTTGTTCCACCTCCAGTATGTTAATCTCAGAGCTCCCCACCACTAGTTAGAACTGAAGAAGCCTCTTGGATGAGAGGAGAAACGTCTTCTAGAAAACTTCACATCCAGTTGCCTAAACTGAACCCTTCAAGCTTTACCCTGACCTGGATGACTGAGAATCTTCACATATAGTTGTTTTTACAATCTTGGTATAATTACAGCTGTGAGTGAGTCACTCTGTCAGGCATGTTTTACAGTCTCTATGATAAAGTTAACAATTAATCGATTACTAAATTGGTTGACAATTGTTTCAATAATTGATTAATCAAGTTATTTCAGCCCTACATATTATGCACTTAAAATAAAAGCTCTTTATTTTAAATATAAATCATATTATGCTATTGGAAAGTTATCTTATCAGATCAAATCAAGAGAAAAATCACTTATTTTAAGAAAAAACAAGAACTCTTATACCAGTTTTTGGACGAAGAATCTAAGTGAGCTACTTTGGTTAAAATAAGTGTATTTTCTCTTTATTTGAACAGATAAATGAGTTTATTAACAAAATATGATTTCCGTTTAAAAGAAGAAAAAAATTCTCATTTCAGGAGCATCATATCTAAAATATCGTAAGGATCAAAAACACCCTTTCCATTCCCATCAACCTGCAGATTAAATACACCAACTTTAAGAACATTTCTTTTATTTGTAGGTTTTCTGTGTATATAAATCTAACAAAGTACATGACTGAAATTCCACCTAAAGTTCTTTTCTAAGAAATCTTTTTTGAAAGCCATCATCTGATGATTTAAACCTGCAATCGAGCGTCTGAGACGAGTTTCTAAAAGGTTTGGTAGAAGGAAATATTTTAGCGCAAGAAGCAAAGGTGCAGAAACTTTTTTTTCCTCATTTTTGTGCTTTTTGTTAAAGATGAAAACAATCTGTGGCTGGTGAATAAATTGAAAGTACCTGTGGAGCCCATCGTCAGCAGCCTCTTCGTCTGACTCACTCAGCACCTCGCTCATCTGCATCTCTCCACTACCTTCGCTACAAGTTTCACTCCCAGCTTAACAGGAGATAAAAGCTAAACATTAGAGCAGTCTGACCTTCCTTCTCCTCCTGCTTGTGTTGCATGTTTGCTTACAAAACAGATGTGTCCTTCTGGTCCTTCTACTAATCTTCTCCGTCTCTACTCCCCCCTCAGGTTCTGCCTTGTCATCTGAAGCTCCCTCATCTAATGTGAGTTTGTGGCGGAGCAGATGGTGCCTGGACTTTGGCTCATCAAGTTTGCCGTCTGTGGACTCTGAAACCAGGTCTTCTCCTGCAGCAGAGATACGTTCTATGTGACATCGACCCGTTCAGAGCCCAGGCTGACAGCAAGGAGTCGAGCCAACACTTAAATGAGATGGATTTCTTCTTACAAAAAGCTGAATGACTCACCGTCTTCATTGGCTGGATTCTCCTCAGAGCCTTGGCTCGGTTCGCCGTTGCCCTCTGAATCAGACTGATCCTCCTGAGTTTCCCCTTCAGAAGAAATGTCCTCATCCGAAGAGAGGTTGGCTTTTATTTGGGCCAATAGCAATTGCTTAGCGATTCTTTTAAAAGTAAAACACAAGGAAAAAAGGTGCCTGTAGTTTACTTGGGAATCACTTCAATCATTTCTTACAGATTTAATAGCAGCTGTTTATAAGGAAGATAAAACACAAACAGAAAAATAACGGAGATCTAAACCTGTCTGTGAAGTGATCAAACTAGGAAGTAAGGCAATAATGGAAGCAGAGACATTTTAAAAGTAAATATTTATTACAACAATTAATATTAACAGACAAAACTTTGAGAAGAATCAAAATTATTTTGCATTTTCTGTGCTTTTGAGAAAGACTGTGGATAAAAATGTCTTTTTCATGCTTGTAACAGTTGATTTCCAGGAGAAAAGTCGAGGATTTCTTAATCAATCCACTTCTTGACCTTTTGGAGTTGCAGTGATGTTCAGTTCTGACTAAAGGGGCAGACCACTTCACATCAAACGCAAAGTTAAAAACAAAATAACAATAAAAGAAGAAGAAGGCACAAAACAGCATAACAGAGAAGTTCATTCTGAAAATGTATGTAGAGTAAAATGCCTTGTCTTTTAAACTCCGATGGGAATTAAAACAAAATAAAAGGAGAAAAAAAATCCCGAGAGATTAAAAATTAACAATAAATATATTCGGTTTAGAAATGTAGAAAGTGTTTGGTTCTGGTACAGGAACCCTCAATATGTACAGGAAGTCCAGCAGCGACTGCCAGCTCAGTGGTTTCTGAGACCGACTCTGCTTCAGTTCATCATTAGAATGTTTCATTTTTTGAATGCTGATCGCTCCCATTTCTTTTTCTTTGTCCACATGACTTGAACATGATTAGGATGGATTAGTACAGTACAGTAGTTACAGCAGAGGTGAAAGACGAGCACCATTAGTGTCAACTGAAACAAAAAACACCATCTAAACAGGGAGCAGGGTCAAAGACGACTGGGATTCTACAAAATCCAAAAAATAACCACAAACAAGGTTCACTTTACATTTCTGCTGACCATTTTCATCACTACCACTACAGCTAAAGCAGACTACAGCGTTAAAGGAGGGAGGGGAGGGGGCGATAGGAGCATAATGTCCCAGATTTCCTAACAGCATTGCTTTCACTGCTGTGCTGTCAGAAATTCCAACCTGGAAAAAAAAACACGGAAAAAACAGACATGTTTGTCGTTAAAGGCATGATGGAAATGCTTCACATTTTTTTAAAGTCACGTTTCACAGCCCACTCTCAATTCCCAGATATATACAAAGTTGCCACTAAATTCTGAAGAGAAAAAAAAAGGTCTTAAGCTGCATAACTGCAGGAAACATTAGTTTTTCCAGTTAAGCAGAATTTAGGTCCTCACATTTTAGAATAATGAGATAAAAAAGGTTGTGACTGATTTAAATGGTCAGCAGAAATGTATACTCTGTGTATAGAAAGTGGTTGCAAAACAGGAAAAAAAACACCAGACCAGAGTCAGAATATCCTAGAAACGACTAAAAAAATGGACTAATAATGAGACATGAGGTGATGATGAAAAACCAAAAGAGGAGAGGACGGATCTCTGATTGCTGGGAAATAAAAAGTGGCGATAAGACAAATTATTTAGGATGTCGGGATCAGTTCTACATTACAAATCTAATGAAAAAATCCCATTCTATTAGGTTCTAGCTTCGTTGGTTTTTAAGCGAAAAGTCACGACGCAATGAGCACCGAGGTTATTCCAAAAGCTTTACCCAACAGCAACCTGAGTTATTATCAGCTGGAAATCATGAAGGATGCTGCTGTTATGGGGAAAGTACGAAGGCGGATCCTTTTATTACCAACAGATTTAGGATTTCTTCTGAATCTTGTGATTTTATTCATGACTTTATATTGCATAGATATTTCATTTATAATTCATGTTATATTCATCTAGAATAGATTTCTCAGGATAAATCCCATTTCATAGGTACATTAATATAAGGGGAAAAGTAAAGTACTAACGAGTCTGGGGAGATCCTAAGATGAGCAGAACCCAACCAGCTACAGCAAGAAGACGCTTTGAAAGCTCCTCAGAAGCATCTGTGCCCTGATTGGTCAGAGCTTTCTTTAGAAGGAGAAATACAAGCTAAGATGCAGCAGATTAAAGTTTATGCTGCTCTTCAAATGACTGCTTCTGGATTTTTTTTTATACTTCATTATGAGCTTTAGAGGCAAAGCTGCATGTTTTTAATCTACGTCATTCATAAAAACAGCCTCAAACTTCTGTTTTCACTGCAAGCAGGGATGCTGGAGCTCATTTCAACTAAAGAAGCTAAGGGACCCATTGCTTCCTGTCCAATATGGCCGCCGAGCTATCGGGGGAGGTGCTGGTTTTCCATAGGATTTTTGACAATAAACTAAAGGCACACATAATGGAGACGCACATATCGACATGGCTTTGTCTTCCTGATATGGAGTTCTCGAACGGTTTCTTTCCCTTCACTTCATCATCAGCAGTCTGGCTTAGACTCTGACTTTTATTCCCATTAATGTTCTCAGTCATTCTGCCGAACGCAGGAAGAGTTTAATATGGCGTCTGCCAAAGGTGAACACACACAACAAATACTCCTACGAGCATCTTTATTAGATACATTTGCTTATAAACTGATACTCACACACGTCTAATGTTCTACATGCGAGTACCACAAGGCCCCAATATATCACAAGAAGGCTTATTTCTTTGTGCATGTTGACCCGTTTCTGTGCGCTCCTCCCCACTTTTATCACTTTGAAGGAGTAAACCACCAGACAAAGCAGCCCACCTGTGATTGGCTACTCTTCAGGAAATCCCGCCTCTTGAGGCTGCACTCTTAGCAAAGCCACTTCAGGCCGGCCGCTTCTCCTCAGGAGTTTGTAATCAGTCATTAAATATAACATGGTCTGTGTGAATATTGGATTCTGATTAGTTGATTTGTCCGTTAAAAAGGAAACCTATAAAAAAAAGTTCCAGTCAAATAGCTCCCGTTTCTGCAGGCTCAAACATCAGCTGGACAAGGGAAGCATGTTGACACTGGTTACCTTGGCAACATGCCCCAACCCAACCTGCAACTAACTGTTCCTTGTAAAACATTAAATATGCGTGTGACGAGAGGTTATGAGCATCTGAAATAAAGCTGCTCATAGGAGTATTTATTGCGTGTGTACGTTTGGCAGAATCCTGACGCAGTAATTTATCTGCGAGTACGCTTATGATGCGGTACCGCTCTGTAGTATTACGACTAATAATCACATACAATTATTCTTTTATTGTGGAATCAAAGACAGTCATAGTGAGTAGAAATATAGTAATACTGTAAGATATTTACTGTACTTCGTTCTAGTTAGCTTAGCTAATGTAGCTAATTGCTTTCCCTTACAGATGCACCAAGAGTTGAAGATCCTTCACAAAGCCGTTAAAATACTGATTTTAGGCATCTGTGGATTTCCTCCACTGTATCGACACCCAATTGTTCACTGAATAATTAACTATGTTATGAGAAAGATCCCTGTCAGCCGACAGGTTTTCTTTCTCTACCATCAGCGAGAGCGTCGGCCGCGCAGCTTACCCTCTGAGCTAAAGGGTTGATTCACAGTTTAAAAGGAGGCAGGTCTGCCTTAGATCGCCTCTGCCTAAAGAAACAAAACCCAGAACATGGAGGCTCATCAAACTTGCCCTTGATAACCCTTGAAATTACAGCTTTAAAACACAGCTTGAGATTTATTAGACGTTTATGAAAAGAGAAAACAAAGAAAAGCTCATTCTTAACGCCGTTAAACCAGGATTTAGTTGTTCAGTAAAACAATTAAAACTGATTTGTTTTTTGATTGATGAAACCTAAAAGCTGAAAACTGGTTTTGTTCAACTAAACCCAAACGCTGAGTACGGTCAAGTTTATCTTAAAGGTATGGTGGAGGATGGGCACGCTCTCACACACGTTTAATAAGCGTTCCCTCGTGGGAGTGGATACAGGGTTGTGCATGTGCAAATGTTTTTTTTCTTCAAAAATTCTTTAAAAATCCTCCACTATAACTTTAAGCCGTGTCGTGATCGATGGCTGATCAGACCTTAGAGCAGCATAAACACACCAAGAGCTAAAACCGCCGTCATTCGTGGAGCGTAGAGAAAATAAGGCTTTGGGTCAAAAGAATAAAAAAAAAAAAAAAAAAAAAAAAAATAAGAACCTTTTCTAAAGGTTTATGAGGCGAGAAAGTAAAAGGAACATAAATGGTGAAATTAATGTAGAACAAAAAAAGAGATAAAAACTGGATGAAATCGGTCAAATATTAATTCAGGAGTTCATATTGTTAAAACGTGGAAATCAGAACCGAGATAGAATCAGAACCCAGGTGAAGCATAAAGGTTTTCTTTTTGACCAGACCTATAGCTAAAAACACAATATTTCTCCAATTTTGTTTTCCCAAAAACTCGACACCTACTAAATCCAGATTATATTCTTTTTAAGTGGGTTTCTAAACTCTAAAGGTTTGGAATAATGGTGGATGACATTAAAAACAAAGTCAGACACATTTAGCTTAAATTAGATCACATTGAAAACAAAGGTGAGAGTAAAACAAAGTTCTTCATCTGTTTGGGTTTCTGCTTCAAGGTTGACTGTTAGCAGAAGCCAAGTGGACAGGGAGAGAGTCCAATAAAATATCATTAAAAGGTTTTTACCTCCAAGGATATTTTTCATAAATACAAAATAAAGACATTGAGATAAAAGGTCCCAAAGCGGACATAACGGACAGAACCGTGAAGTTCTTCTGCTAAAATGTATATTTGATTGTTGGGGCTGCGCAGCTACGTCTGGGACGGGTCTGAAAAGAACGCAGCTCAGTTCTAATGACTTTGGTGTTGGCAGCTTTTGCACGGAACCCAGGATTTGAAGGTGCATCCTTTTTTCTACATCTAGACTTTTTTACAAACTTGACTTCCCGGCTTTTAGAACCGTACCTATTTTCAGGATCTTCGTCGTCTTCTGCTGCCCATGAGGGCCCAGACTGCTCCTCATCTCCTTGAAAAAGAAAGAAAAAAAAAAGATACTTTTTTAAGGATTAGGTCTCTATTTATCACATTTACACTACCCTTTTGAAACTGTGCCGAGATAACTGTTAAGTGTTAATGGCAGACACAAACCACAGAGTGCTAAACTGGTACTAGTTCATCAGTATTTCAGCATAACTTACAAAAACAACCCTCTCTAATGTGTACAACGCTTCATCTATGATTTTACTTTAAAGTCCAGATACCAAAGTGAGGACAAGAAAGGTTGATTTGCAGCTGGTGTTACCCCGGTAACGCCAGCTTAAAATCAGAGAGGACGCTGATTTTGGAGCAGGGAACTGAGATAGAATAGATTAAGAGAAGGAAATGTCAGCCCTGGACTGCCACTGTCCAACACACCCGAACAAATAAATGGTTCATTTCTAGGCCCATTTCTAGGGGATAATTTTGCCTTTGGTTTCAGGTGTGTTCCAGGAGGAATGCATGCAAAAGCTGCAGGACAGTGGCGCACAAGGACTGACGCTGCCAACCCCTGGACTAAATACCTCCTACTCACAACATCCTCTAAACAAGTCACTCATGAAATATTCGCCGTGTCGGTGCTGCTAAAAATATTATCTCCATGACCATAGTTTCTGGTTCTAGGAAAATGTCCAAAATGGTAAACTAAAAGAAACATTTTAGCACCTGTTTAATGTAACCATTAAAAAGAGAAAAGGGCTGCCTTTTTTCTTTTATGAATTTTAAAACAAAAATATTTAGTAACTGCCAGCTGGTGGGTTTTTTTCTAACCAAAAATCCAAAGAACTAATCATACGTTGATTCTCGTTTAACATTTGATATCATCGTGCAATTTAATTAAAAGGTAAAAGGAGGAAGAAACAGCAACATCAGCTCTGACTGCCACCCAAAAAATTGGCAGCACATATTGGCCGTTGGTTAGACTGGTGTTAAAATAATCAGTATTTGCCTCAAATAACCCCTATGGCTTGATCTGTGCTAAGAAATAGAGATTGACCAATAAAGATATTATTTTAAGGCCAATTTTGATTACATAAATCTGATCCCCTGTATGGATTAGAGCTTATAATTTTTTCTCTATGGGAGAATTATCCTGCCATAATGCAAGAGCACATAATTTCAATTTGAGAAAAGAATTTCATCTTCTTGCACTCAAAACTTATAATGCTCACACTCAAAACATGCGCTCTCTCTCAAATATTTTCTTCTTGCACTCAAAACTTATAATGCTCACACTCAAAACATGCGCTCTCTCTCAAATATTTTCTTCTTGCACTCAAAACGTATAATGCTCACACTCAAAACATGCGCTCTCTCTCAAATATTTTCTTCTCTCTATAAATATTTTCTCCTCTCGCTTGCCTCCTTCTCTTCGCGCACAAACCGCACTCTGCTTGAGTCTCAGATACGCTCGCAAACCTGTAGGCTCTGCTTGCGTATTTTTTTTTGCTCTCTCTCAGATTGGATCGGATCGTAGCCTAGCAACCTTTCCAGCCAATAGAACAACAGCCTCAGAAATGGTGCGCTTGTCTAACTCTACTGAGTCACCTTATTCAGTAGTTACCTTACCGACAATAAAATGGCTTTTTATTTTAAAGCTATCCATTTTCAGACGTGACGTGAACAGAAAACTCCCGCCTCAGAGTTGCTCGTCAGAAAAAAAAAAAAAGTTTGCTAGTCAGGGCAGATGCTAATTCTGCCTCCAGCAGAAATTAAGTGACTTTTCATTGGTGATTCTTGAATCGCCCTTTATTATTTCCTTTTTTTATTTTCCTGATTGTTGTTGTTTTTCAGCTTCTTATTTTAATAGCTTTTAAATTAAAAAGCCAATTTATTGTCGGTAAGGTTTATCACAGGCACACTCAGTAGAGTTAGACAAGCGCACCCTTTCTGAGGCTGCCGTTCTATTGGCTGGAAAGGTTGCTAGGCGACGATCTGATCCAATCTGAGAGAGAGCAAAAAAAAAATCCGCAAGCAGAGCCTACGGGTTTGCGAGCGTATCTGAGACTCAAGCAGAGCGCGGTTTGTGCGCGAATAGAAGGAGGCAAGCGAGAGGAGAAAATATCTGTGCAAGAAGCATTAAATCTGAGAGAAGAAACAAAGATTTGAGAGAGAAGAGAAAATATTTGAGAGAGAGCGCATGTTTTGAGTGTGAGCATTATAGGTTTTGAGTGCAAGAAGATGAAATTCTTTTCTCAAATTGAAATTATGTGCTTTTGCATTATGGCAGGATAATTCTCCCATATTTCTCCCCCATCTACATGATAAGAATGGCACAATGATTACAAATGTTACAGAGGTGTAAAAAGGGAATAAAAAGGGTAGGCTTCATTTAAAGGTCAAGAAATGGCCGCTGAAAACATTAACGAATCAGTAATTGCATACAAGTCTGGACAGAAAAAAAAAAAACACTACTGTTGGCTGGTCTCTACTATGAAAGACTGCAAAGATCTTTTCACTTCTATCGTATCATACAACAAAATAAGAGTTTGAGTCATTCTATCACACAGAATGCTGTTATAAACCCAATCTGTGGTGCATTATTTTATGAGCAGGAAAAACTTGTATCAATTGCTAGGATTTAAGTTGTGTACGAGTCACAGCAAGTCACAGTCACGCCTACACTTTAGCATGCATTCATGAAGGATGTTAGATGAGCTTTTAATAGGCAATGCCTTTTGGGTTTGTCCAATTTGATGCACAAGCTAGAACCCGGTCAGATGTTAGAGGTTTAACCTGTGACCTAATCACATGGTTTAGATTTTTCTTATTGCTGCATTTCCCCACTTGCAGAGTCCAGAAGTGGTCTTTCCTTCCTGCTCCTTCTCTGTGGCTCCTCCAGAGTTACCAAAATCCAGCTTCTCTAGTTGACTGAAGAGGATTTATTAAAACAATAAGGCTGCTAATTATTTTGGTATCTTTTCAATTAATATTTGGGAAAACTTTCATTTCTTAGCCTACGAACCTTCCAGTCCTTCTCACTGTTCATCTGTTTTTCATCAGCTCGAGCTGATGTCCCTTTCTTTTCTAAATAATATAATAGATCATATGAAGCCTGTTGGTTCTTATGCAGATTCTATCCCTCCTCGGTTGCTTAAAGAGGTACTTGCTACAATTAGACCAAACATTCTGTAAAACTATTAATAGTAGTTTTTAAGCATGTAGTTGTGAATCTTCTTAAAAAGGCAGGCCTCATCTAGGGCTGGTCAATCAATTGCATTTGCCATATAATCGCAATTCACCAAAGTGCAAATTTCAAAACATAGACAATTTCAGTCAATTTTCATTTAAGAATAGTAATAGTGAGTTCACACCGAACGTGTTTTGGATGTCAAAGCATCTGATTTACATGCAAAGTCTATGGGGGACGGTGCTGAGAAGTCCAGCGGCGCGCCCACGAATCAGGTGCAGCGAATCCAAGCGTCTGGTGCAGGAGTTCAGAAATCTTAACTGTTGCCGCTGGATGCCGGGGCGTCAACCAATCAGAAAAGCTGATCCAAGTGTTTAGCAGGAGGCGATATGCTGGAGATCTGGTACTCCGAACAAGAACTGCATATTTTAGTGGGATCATAACCCTGATGAACAGAGGAAGTTTGGAGGTGGAGTTTCTTGCTTAAAATGTCTTAAAACTATTTTTCCAACTCATAAAGTAAATAAAGCCCAGCTGCTCTATAGCTCGAAGCTACAGATCAGTAACCTGACAACAGCCAGATGCATGTCTCGCTCCGCCTAGCTCCTCTCACATACATCTGGGACACCGCTCATTGAAAGTGATTTCCGCAACCGAATTTATGGTCTGGCCAATCAGGACGCAGGGCAGGTGTGTCCTGCATGTGACGTAGTGGAGAAGCGAGTTCTGTAAGTCCTTCGTCTATACTTTTTTGGTTGGCTTCTTTTTTAAAAATAAGTCTGCTGTGCACAATGTTGCCTTTAATCCGCACATTTTCATGGCACAAACAACACTGATCATTTACAGACATTGCGCTGATTCCACTGTTGCTATATCCAAGATGTCGGCTGTCCTGTTTTGTTTTTTTTTCCTGCGTATCTCTCACAGCGTCACGGGTTAGCTTCGGTGTGAGTGGTTGAAATAGCACGTCGATAAAGATGACAG